CTTTCCAAACCCACAACTACCCAGCCATCTTTAATTCTCTCTAGTTCCAGTGCAACACGGGTAACAAACTACTAAAACTATAACTCTTAACATTAAAGCTATATCTAGTTGTGTATCTCTCTTTCTTTGGCTTCACTACAGGAGATGCCACTTAGTTATTTGAGTCTGGTGCCAAAATGCATGAATATTTTCAGATAATTCGGAGAAAAGTGGTGGTCCAAGTGCATCATTGCCATCAGAATATCTTGAACAAAAACTGGAAGTTAATTTCCAAATTTAGCACGCATGAAAGACTTGTTAAAAACAAATATAACTCACAAGACGACTATGCTTAGGCTAGCAGTCGTGAAAAAGTTGGCGCAAAATATTGGTAGATCGTATTCTGGTTCAGGTAAGACTGCAAAATCAAGAACCTGCAAGGAGAATAACGTATTGAGTAATGTTTAACGACAAGAAAATATAATACTATACATACAATATTAAATCAAACGAGTCCTAATATTTCTAAAATAAAATAAAAAATGTTTGAAACTCTATACTGCAATACATATATGTTGAGTCTTTATTTATGGGTTGCATCTTAAAGGCTTTAAACTTGCTTAAGAATATGCATTAATGAGAAATAAACTAACACACCGTGCATTTAGTTATATATAGTTTTGTAAAATCCTGCAGTACATTTAGCTATATAGAGCCTTCATTTTCTTGTGTGGTTGGAAATCAATCTTGGGTTTGGTAAGCATCCAATTCTTCTACCACTTAATGCACAATGTCAAAAGTGACTTCCTACAGAAACTTCACATGACTTCCACTTAGGCTAACATGAAATTGTAAAGCCCACATTTGTACAAACTACCACAAGCAGAGGAAAAGGAGCTCTTTCACAGATAGAGGAAAAAAGTATTGGCTCCATTTTAGGAATTGCAGTATTAAGAGGTTATGAATCATATTTCTAGTTTGAAGTTATTCTCAATATACAGTATGCAGAAAGTATTGGTTCCACAGACAAAAGGGGATGTACCTCCTATAGTGAAAAAAAATGTAGATCATTAGGGAATCAGAGACAAAGATGAAACTTGAAAGAACTAATTGTAAGTAGTGTAAGTTTCATAATATAATAAATTATAAAAATGTAAAGAGATGCCGAAAATGCCAGAAGAAAATTGAGGGGAGAAAAAGAACTGTGCAGGTCCCTTCTGCTTGCTTCTACCAAACCAGGAATCTTTTGACCGGAAGTTTGAATATTTGGACATTTCCTCACATACAAATCAGGGTTTGAGCTGAAAAGGAGGCTGACTAAGCTTAAATTAAATAGTTTCTTCAAACCTGAAGCTTCAGAACCTTACAAGAATAATTTTCTACAATGTTCTTTTGCCTTGCAAGATAAGAAGGTTCATTCTTCCTTATGACTGTAGATTCCTCCGGTTTGTGCTAGACCTTTTCCTTGTGAACCAAAACTCCACTTGATTGAACATTTTATGATTTATCTTGACTTGATATGCGGCGTGAGTCCACAATCTAATGACTAAGCTTTTGAATAGGTTGGTTTCTCAATAAAAGATGTATGAAGTTTAAATCCAGGACCCTCTAGTAACTTGTTACTTTAACATGATATTGAGAAACCATCTAAGCTATTGTGTCATGGGCGAACAACCCAAGTTAACAAAGTTCTCAATAAGGTCCTTCTGTAAGTGAATACATCCTCATCGATATATTTATACGAGTCAAGTATACATATAACAAAAGAAGCAAACATATATACTCAAGTTCCTGCAACTGGAATTTTAACTAGTGTACTGTCTGATACCCATGTTCATGTTGGGTACAAAAAGTCCATATCTACAAATCATAACAGAAGAGTATCTTTAAAAATATTTGCCCATCCAAAAAATTGTGAATCTTAAAGGAATTTCTTTAAAGAGATGCATCCATCCAAAAATTGTGATTCTTAAAGGAGTGTTCAACGAGTTGACAACTTTATTTAGATGAAATTGATGACACTAATCAGTCATCTCATCTTTCCTTTTGGACCGGCATTAAAGGAAATTACCCAGTACCCAATAATCAAAGTCTTCTATAGACCAAATTCTTATCTTTATAAGAAGATATCATTTAGTAAATATATTTAATTTTAACCATTTAGCTACTCAGATATTGGGTTCTTAGTTTAAGTCATTGCATGACCACCAAACTGTGTTTACCAGCTAGCAAAATATCACCTAATGCTATTTACACCCTAACTATCATGACGCTAGGAATGAACAGTACCATTGTCCTGTCTACTGTATACTAGTTTCAATTAACTCGAGAATTATTTATAGATGTCTAGGGTACAGCCAAAGCCAATTTTGAGAAACATAGCAATATGGAGGGATGCTTAGATAAGTTTGCTTGGGTGAGAATACTGTGATCTGTCACTACCTAGGAAGTCCTTGCTTTAGGCATCACAGAAGGTATCAACATTGACACCAATCTGAAGGATGCGGAATTATGTCTCAAGCATTGTTAAGCATCCTGGGAAACTAAGTGCAACATAACAAAAGAATAACATGTATTTCTCTTCTAAATCCAGAAGGACCACATCTAGAACCCTGTGCTTTTCTCGTATTTGGAGAGGACATCAAACAATGCTCTGGTATCGAGTCATAGATAGAAAAGGAACAATTCCCATATAAGTTTACGTTCAAGAAGGTTTCTGTTTACATAGAGGTATCAGGTGAATGCAACAATCAATGGTACCTAGCACATCCTTTTTCTTTTTTGTGCTCGTCTATGCATTTGTATATGAGTTGGTGGTGTGGGGGAGCTTTTTTTCTGTTGAAAGAGAAGGGAAAAAGAAGCAGCTCTGCATGCCTGGGCGACACTAGCAGGCAGATGTTTTACTGCCCAGGAAGTCATTTATTGTGCATCAATATGTTTTTCTAGTGGACAGTTTAAAGCTCGAAATTGAATAAGTCTAGATACAAAATAAGGATAAGGAACACGAGGTAAAAATAGTTTAGTATCAGAAAATGAAATCATAAATATGCACCCAAGAACGAAACGATTAAAAATAGTATTGTGAATCTCTTTAAATTCCTTTAATTTCCATTATGACAGACTAGTAAAATAATGGATGTGTCCACAATAGTCTCAGGAAATTTGCTATAAAAATTTCAACTCAATAGTCTTTTGACAAAAAGCTTTGTTGTACTTTCCAGTGGACATATACATACAATCCATATTATATTTTGGATTTAAAGGTACAATTAAATATTACGACACCTGAACATCACATTTAGAGAAACTTAGCCCGACAATATTTGCACGTATTTGCAAATTTACTGTGAGAAGAATATACTTGGGAAAGTTTAAACTATGAAAACCACCTATATGCCACTGGACATAAAATAAAAAGAATAATAATAATGTTTCTATATGTATATGCTACCTGCATTGCCGGACTTCCTTCAATCAACAAACTTCGAAGGAGTCTAATTTTGGGCGCCTGAAAAGAAAGTGCATGAAGCAGTGTCCTTCCATCTAGAGCCTTCATGAATTTGAATTTCTCCTGGTAACATCACAACCAAACTCATATAACAAACAAATTATGAATTAAACACAAAGTTGATACTTGAGATTTGACTGAGGATGATCAACTCTATTAACAATACTCTTCTATTTTGTTAGCTGTACACCCTGTAGCCACATGATTAATCCGAGTTAGGTTCACTTTTACCATGTGAAGCATTTAAAGAACTCAAGTAGATATGCACACCTCTTATCTTATACTTCTATGAGAAAATCTTGGAGTTTCTTCAAAGACTACTAGTATTATAGATAACATGAGATAGAAACTATCTGATTTTATGAGAGAGATGAAGGGAGATGAAATGGAGGATTTTTCTAAAAGAGGGAATGCAACGAAGGGCTTGTTATCAGTAGTATACCTCTATCTTGCAAACTGCTTTTATAGCTAATACTAAAGTTGTATACATGTCAGCTCCTTCTAGTACCAGTACGCTACAATCAACTGGAGGCTCAAAGATTTCACGGGCTACTAGGGGGTTCAGGCTTGGTAATTAAGTGAGGCTTGCTTTTACTGGAAGTTTTCTTTTGTTAAGACATGCTAAGAGGTAAGGGAGAACTAATTATAGTCTGTAATTAGCTAATTGATTAAACATTCTAGTCAATGGTGTTTACAATAAGCTCAATGCAACAGAGGAAAAAATTTATAATAGCCAAAAACAGATGATAGAAACAGGGAAGAATTAATCACTGCTTACAGAAACACTACGTGATGGTGCGTTCCCACTCATAGCAACAAATCATCTAATATACTAGTGTTGACCAGTTCCTAACCCTTCATCCACTACGAATTTGAGAAGGAAAGCTTCCAGTACAAAAACTTGTACCCCTCTCAATCATGCCTGACCGCAGATGCTCCATTCATTGCAAATAATCTCTTTTCAGTAATTATTTTCACTCGAATCCTAATGGAAATATACACAGGTTATCTTGGTATAAGTGTTGTCATGTGCAAATTTCTGGAGTCCTGTGCTTTCAGAAGCTGTCTACAAGGAGGCCCTGCTAGCCAACCGTCATATCCTGAAGGAGTTAAAATTTCATACATTCCCAGACAAAGTAATGGACACCCGGCTAATTACATATCGTATGTTGGCACAGGATATTTTTTCCTTGTATTTATAAGTGATACATGCCTTCTGAATTGTACTAATTGATTGAGTTCGATAGACAAGAGTATAGGGCATTCCAGAAGGATCAGATATACGGAGTCCCAGCAATAACAAAAACTAATAGTAATGATAGATCGCTTTTGTTTTTCATGATTTACAATCCATCATGTCCGGACTACTAACCATCACAATTTAGAACTACCCAAGTTCGAACAAGCTGTTTGCAACACAGAGGAAAAACAAACCACAGATTGACCCACACCGGGAAAAAGAAAAAGAAAGAAGAGGAAAAGGGGAGGGGGAACAATCACAGATACACAAAGATTTATGAGGCTCGTCATCAATCAATGTGATTACCTACATCCTTGGAGGGCAACCAGGCCAAGATTCCACTACATTAATAAAGAATTACAGTCAATCTCTCAAATCCTGATCTTACCCCAATGCTGCCTCTATCTTGGATTTTGGATACAGCAAATTATAAGCAGCTGAAGATACATATTTGTAGCATAGAGTTTCTATCTGTAAGGCCGAAAAATACAAAAATACGCTCACTATAGACTGATCAGCAGGACCACTACTCAATGGGCTGCCGCCCCGGCGACCCCCTTAGCAGGGTTGCTATTCTGCAGGCGTCCAATTTCGGGTCCCATTAATATGTACTCCCCATGTGAACTAGGCTCCACAAACAACACAAGCATCCATAACATCATTACATTCTAAAAATGAGGGTTTTCCCCAATAAGAAATCCATACTCCTTATAAACACGAACTACACAAACAACCACTCGAGGACTTTTCTTTTTAACTCCAAATCAAGTGCATAGGGCACAAAATGGCAGATAATTCTCACCTTATTCGGAGAACCCAATTCACGAATAGAAGGGGAAGCAAAGAAAAATCCCAACCCTACTACTCATTCATTATTCCAGTCCACAGTAACATAAACCATTTAACTCCCAATCACATGCATAGATAACCCAATCACTGCAAATTCCTCAGCTTATAAGCTTCTCAAAATAAAGTGCAGCAGCTAAAACTTACCCAAATACTTCAAATCCCCCACAACTAGTTCAGAAAACCCAACTCACAGACAAAAAGGAAACTAAACAAGAGCCTCAAAGACAGAACCCACACATTGAATTAGTCCCAAAATTTTCTACTTCAAAACATGTAAAGTGAGAGCGGTCTTTAGTTGGGCCTGTTGCAAAGCAAAATCCACGAACTTCTTGTAGGAGAAGGCCGAGAGCTCCATCAGAGCACCGTGCGGGCTCTCTGGCCAGCTTTGTTCTACTCACCGGTAATTATTAGAGAGAAAATAAGTAAGAGCTGACCCAAAAAATATTATAAAATATGGACCATTGGAGGTGATTGGAGGTGAAATAAAGAGTTAACAAGAGAGGTGACTGTGTGATATTTCTGGTTATCTTTTTTCTTATTTCCCTCCTGGGTTATTGATAAAATTGATAGAATGAGACGAAGGTTTTTATGGATTGGATCTTTAGATCATAAAGTTGTACAAATTTGATTAAATGGGAGGAGATTTGTAGACCTAAGTTTTTTGGTGGTCTGGGAGTTATAAATTTGAAAATTATGAACAAAGCTTTGTTAGGAAAATGGCTTTGAAAATGGTTTGATGATAAACAGATTCTTTGGAAACAGACCAGCTTTTATAAAAATTTTGAAACAAAAGAGTGAACAGAATTTATTCATTCAAGTAGAGGACAGTTATCTCTTTTCTGGAAAAATATGTTTCTTAATGTTGATAGTTTTTTATGCAGTACTCATGTGGAGGTGGGAGATGGAAAACATACTTTGTTTTGGCTTGATAAATGGTTAGGTCCATCTACTCTTGCTTCTCTTTTTCCATCTCTCTTTATTATCACTTCTTTTCCATTTGCTTCTGTTAGCAGTTTGAGGAAAAAAAGGAATAGTATATGGATATGGGATATCCAGTTCAAGAGGCAATTAACTGGAAATTTGGTTTTTCAGTTTATGAGTTTACTGAATCTTATCAAGGATATAATTTTGGAACAAAGAGAAGATAACAGAATTTGGTTATGGGAAGCAAATGGTATTTATCTGTTAAATCTTTCTATCAATTTCTTATTGATGGAGGTTTACGTTATGATTGTGCAGATATTTGGAAACTTTCCATCCCTTTAAAAGTGAAAGTTATGGTGTGGTTAGCTTTAAGACAAAGCTTAAATACAAAAGATATTTTGGTTAAAAAAGGAATTCATTTAGAGAAGACTTGTGTTTTGTGTTCTAAAACTGAAGAGAGTCATACTCATCTGTTTGTTGAATGTGAGTTTATTTTCTCAATTTGGAGATCTATTCTGTTCAAATTAAAAATTGAGAAAGACTTTAAAATGAAGTCTTGAAAGGAAGTTTGGATTAATTGGATTACTGGGGGAAATAAGGATTACAAGATGAAAAGAGATGTTTTTATTTGTGCTCTTATTTGGTGCATATGGCAGGAGCGTAATGATAGACTCTTTTCTAACAAGAAGAGGAGAGCTCTGGAGATTTTGAATAAGATTTTGACTTTTCCAACATTTTGGTTAGGTTCTAAAATCTCAAATAGAACGGCCAGATTGCAAGAGCGAAGAAGGAAGAGGAATGAGAGATTGGGAGATCTTCATACGGCTGGAGCTGCAGGAAATATGAGCAATTCGGCGATTCAGCTGGATTAATTCTCAAGCTGAAGTGATCTCGTTGATATTTTGATGAGTTAGTCTGTAGTTAAATATGATACTTAATCTTGTGGTTGTTAAGTTTTTTGGGAGGTTAACATTTTGTGCAACAGTGTGTCTGTTGCTTTTGTAATTTCAGTTGGATTTTGTGCACATTTTTGGGTTGGAATGTGCACATTATATGTAACAACTTGTTTACTAATTTAGCTGGCTGGATTACTGTATTGTAATCCATCTTTTTTCTCAAAAAAAAACATGAGAGGAGACTCCTCACCTATATCCTCTCTTGAGCAAAATCATACTCCCTTTAAAAATACGAGTTCGGGAAAATATTTTTTTAAGGTTGGTATTACCCTCAACTTTTTAAAATATTACATTGTTATCCTAATCTATTCTAATTATCTTATCTTCTTTGAATTAGTAACTAAATAATTTATCATATTTAAAATGAGAGTTAACATGTTATTGGATAAAGAAAATATGTTTGATATAATTCAAATCATTTACTTATTTCAGTTCATAGAGAAATCTAAAAAACAAATCCTTCAAGTTTTTTAAATTACAAAAACACCCCTATAAATTTAAAATTTTATTAAAACATCTTAAAAATTATAAATTTTACTTGTTTCAATTCAGTGAGAAATATAAAAATATATATGCTAGCTAGAAACTAAAAGTTTTTTAACTTTGGAGAAAATATCTTGTAAGTTTTAAAAATTACAAAAACACCCCTAAAAATTTAAAATTTATTAAAAAACACCTTCAAAATTTCAAACTTATAAGCACACTAAAAACCTACAAATAACACAAACAACCCCAAAAATTTATGGAATTTTTAATAAACACTCTAAACTTTTTACAAATTACAAAATAAAATCCTTAGAATTATAAATTTATAAAAATCTAATAATTTCTAAGCTAATAGTACATTAAAAATATAAAAATTATAAATATCCCCTACATAATTTATAATTTAAAGAAAACACACTGAGAATTTCAAACTTATTAGTAAATTGAAAGCATAGGAATTATAAATAGTCTATAAATAATTTACAATCTATAGAAAAGGCTTAAAAGTTTAAAAATTTACAAAAAGCCCCTAAAATTCATAATTTATAAAAAAAATATTGTGAGAATTTCTAACCTATGGACACAAAAATGAATATACGAAATTACTAACAACCCTTAGAAAACTAAAATTTGACAAAAAAAATATCATACTCACTTTAAAAGTATAGATTTAGGAAAATCTTTCATGATCAAAATTATCCATAACCTTTCCGAAAAGAACATAAATGATTGAAAATCTATTAAATTTTAAATTTATAGAAAAAACACCCTTAAAGTTTAGCAAATTGTAAATTACCTCTCCAAAGTTTAAAATTTTTTGATAATTTTTTGTAATTTCTTTATTTCAATGTAATGTTTAATAGTTTTGTGTATTTATAAATTACAAAATTTTAGGGTATTTTTTTTATAAATTTTTAAATAAAAGTTTAATAGTTTCAGTGTAATGCATAAATAATTCAATTAATTATGATATTAAATAATAAGTCGTTCTTAAGATTATTAGGCTATAGTTAAGTGTACAACACATCACTATTCTTAGATAGTGTAATTTATATATGCAAAAATTTTATATAAGATCCTGTACGAATTGAATGGTCACCCATCTTTTGAAGACTTCAAGATACTAATAAATAGAAATATTGTACTAGATTAACGTGTTTATAACTCACAAATAGTAGACCAGTCTAGATTGAAAGAAACAATAACGATAAGATTATTAGACCATAGCTAAGTGCGCACATCACTATTCCTAGGCAATATAGTTTATATATGTAAATTTTTTTAGATAATCTATATAGTGGTTAAAAAGTTTTTGATTTAATGCACTATTTTTTATAAATTATATTTAATGTGATCCACCATATAATTTTTATTGTTGTCATCATAAATTTAATATGTTTGATTGATTGACTATAAACGTATATAGACCATAGATTACTTTACTTTCTCACATGAGCTAATATTTAGTATTTAATAATTTAAATTATTATTTTTAATTTTAATATAAAGAGGAGCTCTAATAACATTTATTTATTTACCTACAGCATAATACAATCTTAATTTTTATTTTTGCTGGAGATTTATTTTATAGCTAAGCATATCAAATTAGTAACTAAAATAATAATTAATTATGCTAAAATTAGTATGATTATAGTTGGTCACTCACTATGAAGTTTTTATAAAGATATATATATTATTTTTTATAGCTATCTGCATTGCCAATGTATAATTTATAAATTACTTCTTAATTTGACACATTAAATTATTTTTTCTTTGTAGAAATTTATTCTTTGGCTTTTAGACTCTGTAATCACTATATCACTATTTTAGCGTAGAAAAGACCTCACTCTAAATGGCTTCAAGTTAATGTTTGAGTTGAATTGTAGTACATATTATTGCTACTATGTGTATATATTTTTTAAGAAAATTATATCAATACTTTTTAAGTAGAAAAGAATATTTTAACCTCTGATATTATAAAAACTAAATATAGCTAATTGAGTGATTAACAAAAGAGAATTTACATAAGAAAAATATGAATAATAAGATAAAAAAGAAAGGTAATGACATTGCCAATAATACTACAAATAACAAACTATAATGTAAAGTTAACATATTTTGTGGAGCACAACTACTGACTATAAGCATAGAGGTTTTCATATATATACTTTATAATTTATTTAAAAATATCATATATAGTAATATCGTTGTAATAATATCGTTATTAGGAAAAAATCTTCATGAATCAATATGTTTGTTACGATATATAAGCTATGCACTCGAAATTCTTGTGTTTTTTATAGAGTCAAAAAGTTTGAATAAAAGCCTCTAACATGTTGCTCTCACAACAACAAAATCCACTTAGCAGATGTGGATATTCCATATGAGTTATGTATCCTATATACAATACAATTGCCCTATGCAAGTGAGTTATAATAGTTATGTATCCTATATACAATACAATTGCCCTATGCAAGTGAGTTATAATAGCATTTTTTATTCACATCATTTAGGGTAAGATTTGATAGGGACCTTGTATCAAAGGAAAAAAAATTATATTTAGAGCACATAGCGAAATATATCATAATCTTCCTGTTCTAATTTCGTAAGAAAATAATTCTTCATACTTTCAATTTTACTTCTATGATACAGAAAATAAGCTATAAAATTGAATGAGAATATTATATAATATAAATATGAGTGAAACAATAACTAGAAAGTTAATGTGAATATGAGTCAAACCACAACTAAACGTTTAATGACATATTGCAAGTAAATTCATATGCAAAATTCTTTTATGAATTGAATGATCACCCATCTTTTGAAGACTTCAAGATACTAAT